CAGAAACAAACCTTTACATCCTGCATAGCAGGAGAAGACAGTCCATGCTGAGACTTCTTTTATGCGGAGTTAAAACAAAGAGCCATTTTAAGAGTCAAGCTCCCCTGGCTTTCTGCTTCATTCTGAAGTCTCTGAGGGGAAATGGATTTAAATTGTGCCAGAGGAGATTCAGGTTAGATATTAGGAGGAATTTCTTTACTGAAAGGGTTGTCAGCCATTGGAACAGGCTGCCCAGGGAGGTGGTTGAGTCACCGTTCCTGGAGGTGTTTAAGAGATGGGTGGATGTTGCGCTGAGGGGAATGGTTCAGTAGGTTGATAGGGCTGGGGCAAAGGCTGGGCTCAATGATCTTCTAGGTCTCTTCCAGCTGAAACTATTCTGTGATTCTAAGAAAGAGACATTGAGCATCTGTAACGAAGGGGCTTGGGCTCAGGGACTGCTCTAGGGAGAGTAATCAAGGGTGCCCTGCAGCCTGGTGTTAAATACACAAAACCAGACCTGTTAAGATGTTCCTGGATCTGTACAGTAATAGGTAGTCCAAAATTCAGTGTCACAGTATCTACTTTTCTATAAAGAAAGAATGGAAAGGGCAGTACAAGGAGAAGCAGCTTCAATGCTGAAAGTGAAGGGAGAAACTAGGCTTAAAGGTAAAACCGTAATTTGTGCTTGTAGGCATGTGGGAGATTCTAAAATTTCATATTGGTAATTTCCCACCCCATCCTGGTTTCTTGTCTCCAGCCTTAATGCTGAAACCACATCTCTTGTCCTCTTCTTAATCCTTTTACTTTATACCTAGGGTCATATTCAGAGACCTTAAAGCACTTGATTTGCATAAAGCCTAAGTCATATTTTTGATACATGCAATTAAGAAGTATTTAGAAGCAGGGAAACCCTCTGCAGAGCGTCCAAGGAAGTAGCTTTAAGACATTGCAGCATGCCACGCTTGTAGCAGGGTGGAACCAGGTCTTCTGGTTCTGAGTCTTTCCTTTAGCCACAAGAATTTCTTTCCATCAGGCATTTCTGCAATGTTTGTGAACCCACAGTAGATGAACAGCTTTCTTGCTTGCATATAAACTTTTTCTGTTAACTCTCCAGGCTCAGGCCATCTCTTAGCATTGACGATGTTCATTGTCTGTGTTTTGTAAGGCTCTTGTCTTGACAGCACTCCAAAGTGCTGCAAATATCACAGTCCGGTAGTACTGTAAATGCTACAAGATCAGTGGGCTCAAAAGTACACGAGCACGAAGTTTGGGACTGCTAGTTCTTCCCTATGTGAAAAAGTTTAAAGCTTAAAAATAACATAATTGCACTGGGGGCAAAAAAGTGATAATTGCTAGCTGTTTTAGTTTAAAACTAGACTCGGGGGCTTGTTACCTTACAGACACACCTTCCAGGGTGGCTTCCCTATCATACATGTCTGTGAAGCACTGATAGTCACCTGCTTGCAGTTACTATTAATTGTAGTTGATGTAGAGTTCAGGATGGGCTTCAAAAGCTATTTTGAGCTATCAATGAGGATCTCTAATAGCATGGAGGAGATAACTGAGTATACATTGTTTTAGAGTGTCCACTGTGTACTGTGCATCAGGGCTACTACGTGCAGTTCTCAGTTAACTTCTCAGAGCTGGACTCTTCTGCGTATTGCAACACACGCAAATTGCACTCCATCAGCAAGGGTGCAACTTCAGTTAGAGACCTTTGGTAAGGAATTAAGTATTTCTCTGCAGGGAAAGGAGTTTTTGGGTTTGTTAAGTTTAATCTGCGAGTACTTCAGAGGATATACCCTCTAACCAGCGTGGCTGCTGTTCTTTATGGCTGCTTAGAAAAGTTGAAATATAAGGACTGTTGATATGCATCAGAAACTGACATTTTATGACATTTACTCTTCACAAAAGTGAATGAAGCAGGAAATGTGTTGCATGTCACAATAGGGAAAATTATCTTTCCCATTACGGAGTAAGGAAGAGTTTAGTGCTTCTCTTAGGCATATGATCTCACTCAGTAACCTAGTCTGGGAAGTTGCAGTGATACATCTACTGGCATTTTTGTGGCAAATTAAAGGAGGAGCTGTCATGTACTCTGCAAAGGAATGTGGGCAGGCAGCACATCGTCCCAATTCCTTTACATATAAGGTAATCTCTTAACTCTCTCAGAGGAAAGTGCTATAGCAGCCTTGCCATCTAGACAGGTTTGGATGATACTCATTTACATTTCTCTGTCTTTGAACTGGCAGGATTTCAAAAGCTAGATAACAGTCTTACTAGCAGAAGAGCTGGTGTTCATTCTTCTCATCCGCAGCTGCTTTGCATTTGCAGCTGTATTTTTTTTTTGTATGGCTTTAATAGAAAGCAATTTCTTTCTAGTATTGCAGCCCCCCCCAAAAATCTAACAGACTAGAATGATTTAATACAACAACGTAAACTCCCAAGTTGTTTACAATATTTTTTTTTAGATTCATATGAGTTTTTAGACTATTTCTTAAGGAAAAGAGAGTTGTGTAGATAGTTGCCTTATCCCCCATCAGAACTTTGGAAACTGCTGTCCACCTTCAACCAAATTTGAGTGAAAAACGCCTCGAAGGTGATTAAGTTCCCACAGCTTTGATGAAAACTGGCATTCAGAAGAGAGGCAGACCCAAATGGAAGTGTCCTTAGAGGGACAGGCGAGCAGGCGTGCACGTTCTCTGTGGCAGCAGCCGGCAAACTGTTGTAGGCTGTGTTCAGTCCAGCCAGCTGTCATGTGTCGAGCTCCAGACCAGCCACAGCATGTCGTGTCTGTTATTTGGAAGATATGTCGTAAGACGTACAGGGGGAAGTTTGGTTTACTGTGATGGAGAGAGGAAGGGGACACAAAGTACAAATCTGTACTGTGTTGCATACGGCACAAATGGAAGGTTTTTTTAAATTTGCTGCAACATGCAATAAATCCTCAACCAGAAGGCTGTCCTTTATATACCTTTGCAAAGTATTTTATTCAAACTAGTTTTCCTAAAGCTTTGAATAAATTATTTTCCCTTTTGATGGCCAAAATGCAAATTGCTTGATATATGAATGTGTGCACATTACTAAAACTGCAACTGTCCTTTTGGCAGCTGTGGAAAACTTGTACGTTAGAGGACAGAGGTGGAGGAAACACTGTTAAATTCCGTACCTTTGGTTTGCTTTATTGACAAGACCGTACCCCCAGAACAGAAAATACTCCTACATTGTCCTAGAGTAGATGTTTATTACTCCCCGATAGGCGTGAAGTATTGTAGGCGTGTGTTTTTGGCAGCCACGGGAGGGTACTATCACCGTTTGGGTTGACAGGAAGACTGGAGCAGCCTGCTGACTGCAGTCTGTTACTTCCTAAATTTGTTGCCCGTGGATCACCAGAACTTGGCCATTGCTGCATGAGGAGGAGGAAATTTTTACGGAGTTACCTCTTGCTCTTCTGCTTGAAAGGTTTTCCTCTGCGCACTGCTCCGGCCTGGCAGTGTTTCACGTGTGATAACTTACAAGAGCACAGTAGGTGGCAATACCTGTCAAGGCCTTTCAAACGTATTTGGAGTGGGTTGGATCCCACCGATCATGAGTTTTCACCTCCTGTCAGTTGCTGTGGTGACATGGGCCCACAGTGAGTGGCACAACTGCTCATGAGCCAGTAGATGGTGCCAAGGGGATGTTTTATTCTAAACTGGCAGGACCTTCAGTGGAGGGGCCCTAATCCTGAGTAACTGAAGCTCAGGAGGCACAAACAGTCATGGACAAGGTTCCTTGCCCTCCTGGAAGGCGCATCCTGCTTTCCTGTTCCTGAAAGTTGTGAGCCCTGAGGAATGCAAAATCATGGATGTGATGGCTACCCTTGGGTGCAAAACATCCTCCTAGGCAAAGGATTCCTCCAGGCTTTCCATGTTCTTTGGCCCATAAAGCTATATAATATAGTGCTCAAATTTGTTGTTGCCAAGGTTTCTTGGTTTGGATTTTTATACTTTTGGAGTAAAGTTATCGCTTGAAGTACACAGGACGTATGTGGGAAAGATGCATATGAGCAAATGTGGGCTGGTTTTCTGCAATTCAAAATTTACCCCAGCAGAAAAAGAGAAAGAAGTGCAATTACGTTGTGCTCTGAATTATGTTGAATAGCCTGCACAGCACTGGGCGAAGGTCTGCCTGACAGCTAGTGTGCTTAACCTGCTGTCTGAGCAGTATTTTAAACCTGGCCACTGTGTGCTGTGAGCCTTACTCTGGAGACTTAATATTGACGACTCAGTTTTTTGTGTTGCTTGTGTCTGATGCAACAGACAGGGTGTCACAGAGGTGCTTGAAAGCTTTATACATCTATGTCCAGCACTATTTTCGACTCAGTGCCAAAGGACATTTCAAAGTTACAGGCCCGTGAAGTACAGGAATTTAGACTGTTGTTTGGTTAGAGATACCTGAAACTGAAGTTGATGTGCGTACAGGTGTGGATAGCTATACATTCATGTCCTTATGGATATATCAGTATAGGTTACTCCCATAACTGTCTTTATGCTAATATGAATGCATCAGCACGAGAAAATGTTCTGGTTTAGTGGTACCGGTTTCAAACTGGGAGTAGGTAACACAAGGAAATCACTGTGTTCCGAGGCCTTTGTTTTGCAAATAGGCAGGGGACATTCTGTAATCTTATTTACTGAATGACAAATTTTTACAGATTGTAACACAAGTTATTAAATGGCGGGTGAAATCCTAACCACCTTAGGAAAGGACTCTTTGTGAGCCCTGTACTCTGTCCCCACACCAAGGAATTGTGTGCCTGCTGGGTTGTCCTCTTCCCGTAGCTTCTGCGATTTATGATTTTTATTTATTTATTTATTTGTTCAACCTGTAGTACTGCTCCCTAGGCTTGAGAATTGCTAACGTTTGCAAAAATTCAAGTAAAAATGTCATGAAAATAAATGTCAAATGTTATCTGACAGTTACAATTACACTGCCATAGTGTATTACTTTTCTTCTTGTGTGATTTTATTCAGTTTTGGATTTCAATGATCCCTTCAGTACGGAAGTTAAGCCAAGAATCCTGCTCATGGGATTGAGAAGAAGTGGGAAGTCTTCCATTCAGAAAGTGGTCTTTCACAAAATGTCACCGAATGAGACTCTCTTCTTGGAGAGCACAAACAAGATCTGCAGAGAGGATGTTTCCAACAGTTCCTTTGTCAACTTCCAAATATGGGATTTTCCTGGGCAAATTGACTTCTTTGACCCTACGTTTGACTATGAGATGATTTTCAGAGGCACTGGAGCACTGATATTTGTTATTGATTCTCAGGTAAAAAAAGTTACCTTTGAGTTACCTTTAAGTTACCTTTGTCTTTTCTTCCTTCAGCAATAGACAAATGGGTTGGAAAGCATAGATTTTTTCAAATAAGTCACATTACAAACACACATTAAAAGAAAGCCATTAAAACTTGAAGAGCTGCTTGGTTATTTTTAATCTCTCTCTGCAGTATGTTCAACATTTAGCTACTTTGCCTTAACATCTCAAAAGTTCTTGCTCAGTTTCCTAAGTGCTGACAGCATGAGATTGGTGCACATGCTGCATGTAGGCTCAGGCTTCTACTTAAAAGAAATTTAAAAATTAAGCTGTTGTTGAACTGTAGCATTACGTAAAAGTAAGTATCATAAGACTATATATATGTATTTTTGTAAACTTTCCACAGTTGTAGCTTTTTTTTCCCCCTTCATTAGGATGATTATATGGAAGCGTTAGCTCGGCTGCATCTTACTGTGACCAGAGCCTATAAAGTGAATCCAGATATTAACTTTGAAATCTTTATCCATAAAGTGGATGGTTTATCTGATGATCACAAGATTGAAACACAGAGAGATATTCACCAGAGGGCAAATGATGACCTTGCAGATGCTGGACTGGAGAAGATTCACCTCAGGTGAGGAAAGCTGCTGTGCAGAGAGTCCTAAAGATGAGAGCAGCTTGTTTGGCAAGTTACCATTTTCTGTTCTCTTGAAATAGCAGACAACAAAGCTTTTGACATATGAAGGAAAAAGATAATCCGACACATTGAATTTGACCTGAGCCAGACAAGTATCTTATTTCTGATTTCTGTCATGGAGGGAAAGATGGAGAGAAAATGTGCCTAAAAGCAGATGACAGATACACCAAAGTCCTACCGGTTTTGGCTGCAGCTGCTGTCCTGAAATAAGTTGTTTGGACAGTGGCAACAGCCATTAAAGTGTATATGCCACCTACATCACTTTTGCCTTCTTTGAAACTCTCTGCCTCACAGTCCCCTCCCAATCACTAGTCCTCACTGCTGCAGCCTGCTTGGAGCCACTTGGGAAGACAGGTGCTGTATCTTTGCCTTATGTCTGCCGATAAAGCAGGTTATTGTAGCAAATAATGAAAAAAAGTGGACTTTTGCAGACTTAGAGCTAAAGGACATCAAGTTGACATGGCTTTCTTAGTACTTAAAGCCAAGTACAAATACGTTAGACACCTACTCTGTGAACACGTCAGCTCTTTAGAGCTCTTAACTACCTGACTGCATCATTGTATTGATAAATGGGTCCAAAGCTTTCACAAAGTAGATCACAACAGATATACTCACTAGTATTCCTCTCCTGCAATTTGAAAAATGCTTTCGTAAGAATACCAAGGTGTGAGTTGCATCGTGAAGTTCTACGTCGAGGGTCTTTGCAGTGTCTAGGGTTTTTTTTTTTTGTGTAGAGATGAAGTCCTATGCTTCAATCATAACGTGTGACTTTTGATCACAAGAGGTAATTGCGTAAGTGTAGGCACTTGCTGTTTGACAATATTTCATTGCACTCATATTATGAAAGGTACATCATGTTCACAGTATGTGGCTAAAAGGAAAATGTGGTGACGTTTTTTTCCAGCTTTTATCTGACAAGCATATATGATCATTCTATATTTGAAGCGTTTAGCAAAGTGGTACAGAAACTGATTCCACAGCTCCCAACACTGGAAAACCTGCTTAACATCTTTATTTCAGTAAGTACTTGTTATATGCTTTGTAGATCCGGCTATGTCCAACATGCATGTTCAGATACTCTGTTTGCTGCTTTCTGAGAGAGGATAAGCAATGTGAACTCTTAGAGAAATTATCAGAACTTAGTTGAAATGCACCCACATGCAGCTTGGCCCCACCTCCCTGTCTATTAAACAGTGTTGCTGAGCTGCTGAGATGCTGACAGTAATTCCTGAATCACAGAGTGGGTTAGCAGTCATCACTTTTCTGCTCGTACGTTAAGCTAAATGTTGCAAAGGTCTGGGCTGCATGCATTTTTTTAAGTAGTGCTTAAAATTTGTGTAAATAAATTCTTAAAGGAGCACCAACTAGTCTGACCTCCTGTGTCGAACTGTCTGTAGCACTTCCTGGAATTAATTCTACTTTTTCTTAAGCGCGGTAAACTTCAATACAATGTTCTCTTGTCTTGAAATTTTTAGAGGTAGAGTCCATCACAATTCACCACTTCCGTAGTTACTTGGAAGTTGTGGCTTCTTCTCACTGTGGTGGTAATTGCTTGCTCTGCTGTTCCTGTATGTGTGATCCCTTCCTCTCCTTTGTTCCGGTTCTGACACTCACCTGTTCGCTCGTGGAGTCGCTATGACACACATTAGTGCACTCTTTAATTTAGTTACAAGCAGGTCATGGAGGAGTCCAACATGCTCTTGTTTTGGCACAAGATAACTGATGTGAACATGTGGTGATGAGCAAAGGGGAACGCAGTGCGTAGATTGTGAATAGAGGGAGCTCCCCATTTTGGTGGTCGTTAAGTCAAGTCGTAGCAGCTCCTGAAACTGTACCCTTTCTCACAGTATTTTAATTTTCACCTTGCATCCAGCATTAATTTATCAAGCCTCAGTTTCCAAGCAAGATATTTTGTTGTGCCTTTTTGTGATTTTGAAGTAACGACAGTATTTAATATCGTTCAACAGCCTGTAAGATAAAATTAGACTTCACAGGTTTTCAGTGTAGGTGTGAAAATGGAGAGAGAGAAAAGTTGGATGTGTTGCTGATAGGGAGAGCTAGGATTAGAGGCATGTCTTTCCAAAACTTATTCTTTTATTATTAGGCAACAAATGATACTATTTCATAATGAATGGTTTGTTACAAAGATGCTTCTACCAAAATGGCTGGACCATATACCAGTTATCATCCAGTTGTGAATTCCACTTAGAACAAAGAAGTAACAAGGGAGTGATGCCGCCAGTTTTGGAGCAGCTGAATACTGAATATGCTGTTAAAGAGAAAGCTCTCTGAATGACAGTCCTCCTTGTGCCAGCATCACCCGAGTCACTCAAATTGTGAGTCAGATCTCTGTATGGGGTCTCCTCACAGTTTGGAGTTGGTGAAGAATTTTTGCCAAACCACCAGGTGAATTGAGCATGAGCCACTTCCTCCATGATTGATGACAGTTGCTTGTGTGCCTGGAACATCCAGGAGGCAGCTCCAGTAGTATCTGGAATATCAGATGTGATCTGTAAGGAAGAACAAGTTTTTCAAATGATTGGGAAGTCCAAAAAAGTGAGATTGGCACGCTGTTTGCCTTACTCACTAGGGGAAACAGGCTGTTATTTAGCTCCAGACGGAGCAAAATGCAGTTTAATGACCTAGAGCAAGGTGTAGCTGAACCACTATGTCCTCAGCATGCTTGCTGTCTGGTTTTACAAGTATCTTCTATCTATCTGTAGACAGGAGACTTGGGATGCCTCAGTTGGCAACCACAGGAAGCCTAAACACCATTCTCCAGCATGGAATTAATTTGCAGGTGCCTCCTTACTTTAGCACCTTAGTGACAACAAATCTTCAGATCGTTTTTGGTCATGCCTTACCTCAGGAAGCCAGTGTTTTGGATATCAAAGTGTGGGCGTTCTAGTTTGGCTTTTGCAGCAATATTCACGAGGATGTGCTTTCATTTATGCCAGAAAGACTTCCAACACAAAAAGCTGCTGATTACAAAAATAGATCTGTGATCATTCTTAAGTTCACAGCGTTTTTTTTTGCTTAACTTTACAGTGCCACAGTGTGTTGGCTTGTACGTTTGAGGAACCATCACTGTGATCATACTGCTTTTACATTCTTTAATGTAACTGCTTGTAAATCATAAAATAACAGTTGGTTTGGCATTGAAAACCCCCCTAAATATCACCTGACTAACACTTTTATCAGCTTCATAGAGAAGGATGCTTGTTGTTTAATTACCATGGCCTTACCAAGCAATCAAGTTGTGTGACACTCAAATGTGGATTTTCATTTTAGGGTTGTTGTGGGTTTTTTTGAGGGAGGTTAAAAAGTGTGCATTAAAAACAAACAGGAAGTTATCATGAAACAATAAAATTAGGTACAGTTTCATTCATTGATTGACTGAACTTCCATAGTCTGTAAATTGAAATGTAGTATTTAAAATTAAAATTTATTAACGAAATCTGTTTGCTGCAAGACCTGTTAAAATAACTGTCCAAAAATTCATTCTTAACTTTACATGACTGGTGATACCTCGGCTTTTAATACTTAAAGAAGAAAAAAGACAGGCGTATTTACCTAACCTAGGAGCTGGAGTAATACTGCCAGTTTTACGGAATCCTTTCCATTTAAAAGATAGAAAGTGCCTTCTACTTATCACACCCAGTGTAGTGGAGAAACATGATTGGAATTTCAGCTACCTCCGTAGTTTTTACCTATCCAAAATAAAATCTCATCTATTAATTGCGGAAGATTTTTCGCAATGACTCTCTTGGTTCAGATTAGCAATGGAATACCCTTACATCGATTCAGAGTGCCTGATGGAGCTTCTAGCACATGTTACATCTTCTTTCCAGAGTGTAGGGTTGTGTCAGAGCTGACTGTTGCTTATTCTGTGGCACACTGGTGGCAGCGTTTCATTCAGTTACATAAGGCAGCTGTTGGCCCTTATTTATCTATTAAGGAATTCTGTTCTAGTACAGAAGTAGTTGATTTCTTACTGTCATTTTCCCTGACTGAACATTAATGGTGTAACATCTCTTTGAATAGTACTTTTTATCCACTGTTTCCTGATTTATTTATTTTTTATGACTTGTAATTACTGTTTGTACTGGTATGTTTCTTCTGTTGAGCAATTTCCTCACAAATACTCTGGCAAGCTCTTTGCTTTTCCAGTTAAAGTTGTACTTAAAAACCCTGGCAAATGAAATCTTTGAAGTCATGTGGATGCAATTTAGGGGGAACTACTCCTGGCAGTCCATCCCACCCTTTCGCAGAGGTTTCTGTCAACATAGAAAGTTCAACAGAAGCAAGTATGTGCCAGTGTCTCAGCAGATCCTACCATGATGCATTAATTTCAACTGAAAATGAGCGTGGTTCAAGTTAAGATACCAAGCTCTGCCCTTGCCAGAAAGCATAACTGCTGGCATGGCAAACATCCCAAGATGAAAACTTTCGAAACTGTCACTGCAACTACAGGCAAGCTGCAGCAGCTGGAGTTCTGAGATGGAAGAATCACTTCTCATTGTTAAATGTTATTATATTGTCACTGGCATCTTAATAATTTAAAGTACATCTTACCTGTACATCTGAAATTGTCACTATCTCTCAATACATAATATAAAATTTTATAATCAACTCCTCATGAATGACATTACAGTGCTCGAGTTCCAACTTCTTTTGTCTAAAACAACTTGTGTTTTCAAGTATGTATTTTGCCGCTGAATTATGGCTGTGTAGTTGTATGATATTTACAGGTGGATCTTGTGATTAATCTTATTTGACAGCATCTGTTGAAGTATGTGAGGTGCCATCAGAATTATTGTTTAAAAATTAAAGTTGCAGAACTATCATGTGTGGCCGGAATAACCAAAAATAAATACACATGCATTTTTGTTCTTAGTGCTCGAAGAACATAGACTCGTAAAGCCATGTAGCGTGAAAAGGACCTTTAAAGGTCGGTTGCTTCTGAGAGCCAGGCCAGCAAGAGCAGATTGCTCACGGCTGGGTCCAGTCCAGCTTTGTGTATCTCCAGACATGGAAGCTCAGCAACCTCTCGGGTCATCGTACTCCTGGTGCTTCACCACTCCCTTGCTAGTTTTTTTTCCTTTTGCTTCTATCAAGTCAGAATTCCAACTTGTGACTTTTGCCTCGTGTTCTTCAACACTGTAGCTCTGAGAAGAGTTTGGCTCTGTCTTCTGTGCACCCTTACATTAGGTGTTTGTAGATAGCAGTGAGCCTTCTCTTCTCCAGGCTGAACAACCCAGTTGTCTGAGACTCTTCTTGCACGTGGTGTGCTGCAGCCCGCATGCCTACAGATATCCACAGTGTATACTTTGTTCTGAATATTTATTTTATCAGTGAATTACTGGAGTGTGCCACTCATAGTCATTTCCTTAACGAAATGCAAGAAATTAATCTCTATACTCTGCTGTTGTCAATGGTTATTTCCAGGGTTAGTTGTGTGTGCCATAGTGGCAGAATTAAGCCTCTTTAATAAGAAAATGCCCGAAGTGTTGCTGGCCATTGTTCAGTACCATATTTAGGGTTGATTTTTTTCTACTTATTTTGGGAAATTTAGAAAGTGGGAAAGTCACTTTAGTATCATAATTGTGTGTTATGTGGTTGACTTAGGGAAGAAGAAGATGAGAAAGGAAATGTTCTGCAACTACAAAAGAAGGTGCAGCTATTAAAACTTGTTAGGGATTTTCAGTGTGTCTTTTCTTTCAGCTGTCTTCTGGTAGTTAAAGACTGCTGTGGCAGCAGCCCCAAACCATATTAAAAAAGGAAGTCCATGTATGGAGAAAATTCAGTTTGATGGGAGAAAGTTGCATCTCTTCCATGTATAGGTGGACTCTGAAGCATAATTTATAGCTTGAGCTTTAGCAGTACTGGGAAATTGCCCTTTGTATTCATGCTGGGACAGCTGCCCAGGTAGCGTGATATCAGCAAGCAAAGCTACTGTTTTCAGTTAAACAGTACACGTTTTTTCCTCAATTTTTTTTTCCAGGAAGCAGAGGCTTATGGCAGTTTATCTACACAAAGAGTATGAGCTAGCGTTCCTGGCTAGCCTCTGAGAGCTGCGGATACGACACATCTCCAGTGTGGAGACAGTCTTAATCAGCTTGGCAGGATGACAGGAACAGAGCTGTCATCCCGTTAGTAAACCTTAGCATTATAAACAGGCCTTTAAATACCAACGCTACGTGACAGCTGGAAGAGCACCGTCAAAAACACTGGTCTTTCTTCTCTGATCCTAAAAGATGTTCTAAGGAGCCAGACAGTAAAACAGCTACAAACCCTCAGGAGACAGTTTCTCAGTTTCCTTGAGAAAATAGTTACTGAATACTACTGCCTTCTTTGCCCATCAACGTTTTCTTTTCCTTGTTTCTACTTTGTTACATTTCCAGCTAGAACAACTTTAAATTACAGCTTTCTTTTTATGCCCATTGTTACAGTCAAACACCCAAAAGCTTGATCTTGGAAGACTTTTTCCCCTGCATTTTCCACTGAAAATAAATGTAATCTCCCCAGATGTTTTCCAGAGAGGGTAATTTTGGGAGTGTAACTTGGTGTTATATCCACTAAGAGGCAGAAACTGTTGGAAGGTCTGTGAGCTCTGTGGTTGGCTACGAATATGAGTGCTCTATGTTCAGTTCTTTCAAAATGAGCTTGATTGCAGTTTAACTTCCACTTCTTCAGCCTAGCTTTTTGTGTAACAGGCAAGTAGAGGAACAAAGGTCTTGGTATTAATTTGAAGACAAGGCTTCCATTTTATTTTTCTTTCTTCTTTTCTTAAATAGAATTCTGGGATTGAAAAAGCATTTTTATTTGATGTAGTCAGTAAGATCTATATTGCTACGGACAGTACTCCAGTGGATATGCAAACTTACGAGCTCTGCTGTGATATGATAGATGTTGTGATTGACATTTCTTGTATATATGGGTAAGTAATGTTTTTCATAAAACTTACTAGTGTTTTCTCATAAAAAAAATTAGAAAGATGTAGGTATAAACAATAATGTGAATGTGTAATTTGTCAAGACAGGGGAGAAGGAGGAAGCAGCAGGCCTGTGAGGTGCAGATCCATTGCCAGCAACAAGCACCATCTCCTGCTCAGCCTCTTTTGTGAACAACTTCCTCTTTCCATGCTAATAATTTTACTTGGAGGAAGGAGTGGGGAGTAACAAACCTATAAATAGAAGGAAACATTATCTTTTTGTTCCCCAGAGACAAATTCAAGAGAAAGATCCCTCCCATTTTAAAAAAAAGTGAGGCCTTATTTAGTTTTGTTTACTTGAATAGCTAGTGGCCTCTACTGACCTAAGAGGGCTCTGTCACAGAATCACAGAATGTTCGGGGTTG